TTTTCTTCTTCTTTATCTTCTTCTTCCATACTTCCTTCTTCTTTATTATTATCTTTACCTTCTTCTATTTCTTCTTCTTCTTCCATAGTAGTATTTTCATGTTTTTCTTTTTCTTCTTCTTTAGTAGTATCATCCCATTCTATGTTAGCCTCATCTTCTACTCCTTCTTTAAATTCTTCATCTTTCATTTCTTCTTTAATTGTAATATCTTTTTCTTCATTTCTTCTTTTTTGTTCTTTTCTTTTTAATGCTAATTTCCATGGATCAATAGCTATTGTTTCTTCTTCATCTTTCATTTCTACTTCTCCTACATCTTCTGGTTTAATACTAAAATTAACTCGATGTTTCTTCTTGTCAATATGAACTACTTTTGCCATTATGACATCTTTAATTTTAAATCTCTTTTCCATTTCTTTCTTTGTTAATTTTTTATCTTCTATTTTACTACAATGACATAATCCTCGAATATTAGAATTAAAGAATCTTAAAAACAATCCTTCACTTGTAATATTTACTATAACACATTTAGTTACTATATTTTCTTTGATATCTTTAAAGTATTTAATTATTCCAGGATAAATAACACTTTGTTTTAATGTTCCTTCTAATCCTTCTTTATCAATGATACTTACTTTTACTAATCGTTGAATACAAAAGATTCTTGAAAAATCTTTCCCATGATAACTTGTATTATCTAATAATTCACCTGGTGCTACATGAATAGTTACATCTCTTGATACCATTACATCAACTCCTTCTTCTTCACTACTTTTTATAATATATCCTGTTAAAATTTCTCCTTCTTTAATATTATCTTTTGTTACAATACGTGTTTGAACTCCTCCTATTAATGGTGGGAATATTTCATCATAAGCTTCTTTTAAATATTCTTTTCTCATTGAACATGAAATTTCTGGTTTATTTGAAAGTACATACATATTAATATATTTTCCATTTTGTAAATAATCTCTTGGAAATGGATTAAAAACATTACTTATATCACAATAATGAATATATCCTATTCTATTTCCTTTAATTAATACTTTAATTTTTAATTCTTTTGTATTATTACCAATAACCTCTCCAACAATAATTTCTCCTTCTTTAATTTCTTCTTTTTTGTCTTTTATTAAATAGATATTTTCTTTACTATAATATCCTTTAACTTTTATTTTATCTCCAACATTATATTCTTTTTTATTTATATTAATTTCTTCAATATTATCTCCTATTTCAATATAATTTAATTTTCCTTTAAGTATTGAATTAAACGAAATTATATATCCATCTTTCATTTCTCTACTAATAATTCCTTCAATTTCTTCTCCTTCTTTAATTTTTTCTTCCATATTTCCTTCTTCCTTCATACTTAATTCAACTATTTCTATTCTTCCTTCTATTTCTTTTCCTTTTTCTTTAATTATTTCTCCTTTAACTTGTATTCCAATAATATAACATTCTATTTTCTCTCCTATTTCTATCTTCTTTGTACTATTAATTTTATGTAATCTTCCTGTAATTCCTTTTCCTAAATTTAAATAACTAATACTTTCATTTGTATAACTTACTACTCCTTCTATCTTCTCTCCAATATTAATTGTATTATTTTTAATGCTATAAACAATTGGTTTACTATTAATTGTTCCTTCATAAATATTTTGATATCCTTCCATTTCTTTTCCAATAATTATTTCGACTTCTTCTTTTACTGTATATTTTCCTCCATTCATTCGAATTTTATTTACAAATACAATATTTCCTTCAACAAGACAAACACAATACTCTTCTTTATTAAGAAGAACTTTTCCTTTATATATTTTATTATTTTCTATATGTTGTTTTGTAATCATTTTTTCTTGAATACAATCAATCATTTTTCTTTCTTTATCAACTCCAATAACAATACATTTCATAGTATTTCCTTTATTCAGTTCTTTAATATCTCCTTCAATTCCTGTTTTTGGAATAAATATTGTTTCTTCTCTTTCTTTATTTTTTCCAATAATTCCATATGGTTTAATATCTTTTATTTCTATTTTAAGTTGACTTCCATATTTTGGTTCAACATCTCTTTCTACTCTTAATAACATAAATTCTTCTTTAATACTTCCTACACTACTTTCTTTTAATGAAAAAATACCTTTCTTATTTAAATATCCATATACTGTTTGTCCAACTTCTAATACTTCTTCAATTGGTAAATTAGTATCACTAACATTCATTCTATAACAAAGTATTGTTATTCCATTATAAAATGAAATAAAACAATACTTTCCTTTAATTTTACTTACATATCCAATATATTTTCCAACTGTCATTTCTTCTTTAGAATTAAATTTTCCTATTTTTTTTCTTAATGAAATAAGTGATTTTTTTGTAGTAATTACCATTTGTCCCATTTGATTCTTTAATAATAAACATTCTTTTAATATTGTTCCATTTCTTATCATTTTAGGAATATCTTGTCCTTCATCTCCATCAATAACAAGATAATATGGCATCATTGCAATATATTGAACATCTCCACTTTTAATTCTTACTAACATAATTTTTTCTCTTTTAGCAACAACAATTCCTTCATAAATTTCTCCTACTTCAAAATGTCTACTAACATCTTCATATTTTTCTGGTACATTTTCTTCTGGGAATAAATTTAATGAACAAAGTAAAAGTTGTTTATCAAATGAAATAATTCTAACTTTTAAAAGTTGTCCAATACTAATCATTCCTATTTTTTGATTAAATAATTCAATTGTAGGAATAAACCCTTCTATATTATTAAAGAATTTTAAATATACTCCTCTTTTATTATCAATAAATGTTACTGTACCAAATGTTATTGTATTTAATTCAGTTTCTTCAATAGTTGTAATAATTGGTGTTGTTGCTTTCATTAATGTTCTTTTATGTGTTAAATAAATACTATTATTTCTATTATTTACTGTTAATACTCTAAATTTACTTTTTTGTTCTTTTTTAAATACACTTTGTAAGTCTTCAATAGGAATATCTCCACTATTAATTTTATCACAAAATCCATATATTTTTTCTCCTATTTTAACAATAATTCCTTTTTCATTAACTTCTTTAATTGTTCCTTCAATTATCATTCCTGATTTAATATCAAATATACTTTGATATTTATCTGATAATATACTTTCTCTTGTTGTTATTCCACAATACCCATCAAATGCTGAATAATACATTACTCTTCCTTTATGTGTACTTCCTATTTGAAATTCTTTTGGAATATCTGAACAACTTTCATCTTTTATTTGTTTTTTGGATAAAAATACTTCTTCTTTATCTTCAGTTTCTCCAATAATTCCTACATTTTCATCTATTTTACTAATTGTAAATTCTATAATTTTAAAATATTCAAGTGGTGTTTTAGTTTCAAAATCTTCACAAATAACATGTGGTAACATACTTATATAATATTTATTTATTTGATTATTATAATAAATAACTACTCCTTCTTCTCCTTCTTCATTATTATGAAATAAATGACAATATAAATTTCCTCCTGACATTTTCATAACATTTCCATTTTTTGTTTGATAATTATTTTTAACTTTAACATGACATCCTACTCTTACATTTTTCATTTCTTCAACAATACAACTACTATCTGCAATAATTCCTTTAAATTTATCTCCTACTTCTTCTGTAATTTTTATTTGAATAAAATCTCCTACTTTTCTTATTCTAAATTCTTTCTTTTCTTTATTTTCTTCTTCA